TATTAAATGCAACATTTATGCAGCTTCTCTCACTATAACCCCTTCCCCAACCGATGCCGCTCCCCTCCATGTTCACATATAGCGTTGGAGGGGATGGCATTATTCGCATTTTTGGCATTAGACTGGAACTACAATCGTAGACAAACGTCCTTGGGACTCTTATGTAATTTAACGAATTATCTGTGTTTTACTACTAAAGTTTGAAAAAAGCGCTGCTTTCCTTTTAAAAACGCGTTTCTGTTCTCCCTTCCCACCCAATACAATGTTGAAAGCCAGAAGGAAATTGCAGGTAGTAGTTTTCAACATTGTATGCGGGGAGGGAGGCGAGGTTAGGCAGGTGAAGTTATATTTGCGTCTGGTGTGTGCGCAAAAGCGCCAAAAGTGCAAATTTGTCCCAAGAATTTTGTCCATGATTGTAGCTTGCAACTGAGGTTAATGCGAGGAGTCTTGTCATATGGAAATGACATTCATCTCTTATTCCTCCGCATGAGGAGGCCTTTGTAGTTCGGGCTGTAATGGCGCATAATGTTGTGTTTTTCTTGCCGTACAATTTTATGTAAGAAATGAGTCAATTTCAGTTGAGTTTACCTCTCTGATCGTCGCTGTATTTAAGGAAATTTCTGCGGAATACTATTAAGGAATTCCTTCGCCTTCTGCTATTAATTTCACGGCAGAAAAGACCGTTTTCAAGTGATTTGCAACAACGAACTTTGGGCAAAATATCACACCGGAAAAACATAACTTTACTGAACTTAACTGGTAAACTGACTAAATGCATCGCCGATTAAATAAACAAAGTTGCGTAAACAAATTCATTGCAACTAAAACCAGTTTGCCCCAGGAAAAAAAAAAAGAAAAAAAAAAGGAAAGAAAGAAAGAAAGAAACATGTTAGCTGATGGCCTGGGTCGGTCCGTATTGGGAAACAGCTGTGTCCTCTGTCCTGAGCATCGCCCTCGGCCCGCGACCTCGTGCCATACTTAAGACTTAGTGGCCGGTAAATATCATATATTGAGTGTGTGTTAGCAAGTGAATATTAAGGTGAGTACCTTGGTGTTTTCGTGGTACTAGCTTGGTATCATTTGTGAGGAAAAAAAATAATAATCAATCAACTGTTTACTGAGGTTTGGGTCATTGATAACCTGCTTATAGACAAGATAAACTCGAACAAAACATAAGTAAGTAGTCGTGCTTATAATGAAACCATTTTTTTACAGAGGGGATAGTTATTCATTAACTATATAATGTGGCATGTGACCTCGGAAAGTTCATTATATTTTGAAGTCAGACTGTAAAGTCCTTTAAAGTTTATGTGACAGATTTGTTACTCACTTGCTTGATGGAATCTACATGAGATCATGATATGGAAACTAAAGCTGAATAGAGATCGTTTTTCTTTTTTTTCTTTCACCACGGTTTAGCTTTCTAAACCCGTGAAATTTCACTTTTGGTCAGGTCGGAAACCACTTAAAAATAAAAGAAATATACAAGGAATAAGGCAATCAAGCGTAATTCCAATTTCGGTTTAGAATTGTAAACATTTGTGCTTTAAATCCGGAAAGAGCTAAAGGGGATCATTCAGGAGCTTAGCTTAACCCTAGACCCTATTATTTCAGACATCAAGGTAATTTACAATCACCACATTATTGTATGCCACTCAAGTGAATATTGTCTTTCGCGCGTTCTGATTGGTTAGTTCGGAGGTGATTAGCAAAGTGCCATTCACCTCCACTTCGGTAAAGTAATCATTCACTATGGTAACACTTTGTTGTCCCTTTGTTGAGCGGATCTTCGTAAGAAAACTTAAATTGAGCTCCGGACTTCAACTGGACAGCTGCTGGAGCTCAGAAAAGAAGTTTGTCCTTAAAACGTTTTATATTCCGAAAATTTCAATTAGGGAGGTTTAGTTTCAAGTTGCTCTAATGCTAACTAGGTTCATTTACATGACAAAAACAGAGAGGTCTGTATCAAAGCAGTCACCTCCAGCCTCGCTGCTATTCAAAGGCCAGATCACCGAGCAGACAACTGTAAAATGGTCAATTGGTAGGTAAATTTGCCATTCACCAGTGACCTAAGGAAATGTCAAAATATTTGGACAATTTATGTAACGGCCAGTTATCAAAATCCCGAAATTGTTGTCAGTAAAATACTGTAAAAAAGCCCTA